TTAGACCTCAAAGGCACGATCCTCTCTCAATACATACGAACACATGCTACATAAAACAAGAAAATATATAAACATGGCTGTTTAAAAGCCCGTTGGAAAGCATAATAGCCCAAAATATACATCGCAGTATCTTAACAAAATAGTGCTTAATGATGACAGTTTAAGTTTGCAATTACATGACATTCTTGAGCAAAATATCACTTCTACTCATGGCAAAAGATTTAAAACTGCAAAAACAACTGAAGCATTTATTCATTTATATGCCATTTCAAGATGAAAAACCCTGCCAAGGGCAACACTGTAGTAGTGTAGCACATCTTTCTCTTTTCCTTTAAAGAGCAGTAAAGGCAAAAAGTTAAAAAAGAAAAAGGCGATATCTACATCTACTGGCAATATCTAATGATCAATGAATCTGCTACTGCAATAAATTTGCTTAAAACAAAGCTCTTCCTTTAATGGTTTTTACACAGCAGGCTCCTGATACGAAGAGCGGATGACTGATGCTGGCTTACAGTATGGCTCTATAGTAAACTATGCCAGTATTACTATCAAACCACCTGTTACGAAACTCCCTTTCTGCCCACCATACAATCAATTTAACGAAGATCTAAACACAGTTCAAACATTCAAACAAATCCCACTCTCCTCCTTCCCCTCTATGCTTACTAGAAGAATGGCAAGACACAAGTCACTAGAACAGTCCCAGAAATTACTTTATCTACTTATTATTTTATCTGATTATTATTTTATCTATTATTTTACTTTTGTTAACAAGATCACATACTGAATTCAAGCGAGTCAAGGAAAAGGAGCAACGGCTTCACAATCACACAATACGCGAGAAATGAAGACGAGTACCAATTCCAAGGCACAACACTAAGAGTTATACCTGACTGCAGAAGCTCACTCACACGATGTCTAAAAGAGCAAAAATAAAACATTTACCGCATCAAATTTCATATCAGTTTTCTCCCCATAAAAGAATACCCGGTTCATCACACTACAGGGTTTTACATAAAAAGAAACTGGTGGCAAGAAAAAGTCCATCATCCGTACAGAATAAACATTACTTTCAGCTTGGTAATATCCAAAATAAGTAGATTGACATAATTCTACAAGGTAAATAGAGAAAATACAATAGGGAAAAGAAGGCAAATTACTGAGAAGCCCCCTTTCTCCAATCTGGCATCTCTCTTCCCCATCCTGAAGTAAAACCAGTTTGATCACACTCACAATCACAACAGCTGCAATCACGGAGAGAGCTTATTTACCCTAAAACAAAACATGAAATTTCTTCACCTCACAGCTGCTCCCCTGCTACAAGCAAGATCAGTTTCCAGTCCAAAAGGCACGGAATAGCCTGTAAACTCTTTGGGGCAAAGACCACCTTTTTGTTATGCACTTGGGAGAACGACCAGACCAGAATAACAACATCCTGATCCACAGCTGAGGCTACCATGAACTATTTCAGTATTAGTGGAGTGATCTTCTCTTGCTTCATGATCCGACCACGCTCTCCAGGAAAAGCACTTATAGTGTAAAGTTTTCCCATAACTCTGGCTAGCCAGCATGAGGCAAAAACATCTTCACAGGCCAGCTTCTCTTCTTGAGGCTGACATCCTGACACAATTGACCTTATACATTCCTCAAAGTTGTAGTGGTTCAAAACTAGGACTTTGTTGAGTGCAAAAAGCAACAAAATCAATATAAAAAGAAAATGGTTAATGAAAAATACAGAAAACATGGAGAAAATCCATTTGCAAGCTGGAAAGAAAGAGCAAAACTGAGCATGACAGACAGAAAGGATGACAGATTGTATGACTGAGACTACCTCAGCTTTCTAATTGACAGGACTATATAAACAGGATGTACTGATATTTTAAGAGTAAAAATAAGATACACCAACTACTGCAACAGATATTACATGATTTTGTAGGTTTTTTTAAAATTCTATTTAGAATATATAAAGCAAATATGAAATCACAGCTACACAGAATCACATAGGATCGAAGAGATCTTCAGAGAGGTCATATAGTCAAACCTCCAGTTGAAAGCAAGTCTGGTGAGAACAGGGTGTTTGGGGGCCTTGTCTAGTTGAATTCTGAGCATCTCCAAGGATGGAGAGTCCAGTCTCTCTGGACTCCTTCCTGTGTTTGAAAACCCTCATGGTAATTTGGGTTTTTTTTTTCTTTTACCAAGTTCCAACTTCCCTTGTCCCAGTCTGCCCTCACTGCCTCTTATCCTTCCATTGTGCACCTCTGAGATGAGTTTGGCTCTCTTCTTGCCCACATCCTCTCATTTGGTAGCTGTAAACAGCAGTAAGATCTCCCTTGGACTTTCCCTTAGTAAGGCTGCCCCATATATCAAAAGTCAGTGAACTCTACCCTTAAAACTCCTAAAACTATACGAATTCTGACTCCTATTTCTCTTGCTAAATTTTTAATCAAGTAAGCTCTAATTTTTTAATTATTTTAAAAAGATAGCCTCATATAAGCAGAGACGTGCATGCTTAAATAACCATAGTATTTAAAATTTTTGTCTCAGCAGCAGAATTTGATGTAAACTCCCAACTTCTTTGTTATCATAGTATTAATTTTTGTATTGTACACTGGTTACCACTTGATGGTAACTCTACTATGCATCATCAGCAGAGAAAGAACACTGTTGCTGAAGTGTCAAAAGTATAGACTTCAACTTCTTGTGTTAGGAATTTGTTTTCTAGATTAGCAGTCCCCAAAGAACAGGAAAGAACACAGTGGTGAGGTTTTAGAGGGAAACATTAGAGAGAATCTGATGACATTTCTTGAGGCAGGGGGAAGAGCAGCCATGGAACCAATCTTGGAGATGGGGAAAAGAAAAGCAGCAAGCACCAAGGTGTTAAGGACTACTTATTATTTAAATGAAATAGTCCCATCTACACAGAAATACTCCAGGAAAAGCCTGTGTAACTCAGAAACTGGGATCAGAGTTCAAAACTTAAGAGGCTGCCCACTACTAAGAACAGGATAACCAACCAGCCATTCACAAACCACAAAGTATTTCAGGTGTGATTCTCACACTAAGGATTACCAACCACAAGGCTGTATCAGTGAAGACCTAATGTATCATCTGAATTTGCAGATTCAGGCAAACATGCCTAGTGACCTTGAGATGTCTGTATCAACCTTGGAGCCTGGATTTAGACACTCCTTCAGTGTACCCTCAAATCCTCAAAGAAGAAATTTGACTATGTTGAGGCTGGTATCTTCTACTCGTGAATCTGTCCCTGCCTCTTCCTTCATCCCAGTTCTCTGAAGTCTATAATAATGGAAGGCTTTATTCTCATTTTGCCTTTATCCTCTTTTATGATACCCCTCACTTCATTGCACAAACCTTCACTTTACTGACTATGATAGGAAATTATGTAATTGGAACATGTATCAACAGATAAATCAGTATCTTCTTATTTCATAAGTCCTGGATAGTTGGTGTGTTTTGCATATTTTTTAAACTAAAATACTCAATCCATTCAACTGACAGTATTGAAAATATGATGAGGTGTCGAAGGCAGCAAAAAACCCATTTCAATTTCACAAACTGTGATATGTAGACATCGGAGCAGCTGTGTTTCTTCTATCTCATAGGCTGTATTACTAGGACTTTATCTGCTAAGACTTTACCAAGATGCTTATGAACAGTATTTTAGAGTCATAGAGAAATCAAGCATTTAATGCTAAAGTAAAACGGGACAAAATTAAATTTAAAGACACAACTGCAGTCTTTAAAGTCACAGTTACATATAATCCAAAAGATGGGAAGCAGTGACATTTAGAAGAATATCATAGATACAATTAAGAATTCTATTTCATAAAACATCCAGCATTTTAATGAAAAAAAGTTAATTCTCAATGGAATTTTAAAATGTAGATGAAGAAAAATTAACATGTAATTACACAGTGAAATTATCATAGCTTTATTTTAAAATCAAAGGAGGGGAGCCTCCTGTATCATTGCTACTTATGGCTTCTTTTGTTAGTTTATTTTACGCGCTATTTTTATTTCAAGCTAAGATTTCTACATTGCACCAGCATTATCCAAAAATGTTAATCAACCATGCCTGACAGAATTCCCCAGTGATCTGCAGCAAGTGCTGATGCTTCCACTAATACCCAGTCTCGAGCAACTCACTTTTGTTAGATTTCCCAGGATGGCGAGTATGCTTTAGTTTCATCCTTCCGTTTCCAGATCACCTCTCTGTGATTAACAGAGCTGAGACTGCAGACAGAACTGAGCCTACACATTCAGCTGCATCAGCTATGCACATCCATTTTGTTCAGTATCTAAAATCCCTGTTCCTCAAGCTCTAGGAAGCAGACCCATATACCATCACTTCTGATCTTAGTCAAAACCAGAATCACTTTAAATGAATTTTAATGGCTAAGAATTTAAGAACAGCAATGGATATTGAATCATGCAGTTTCACTAACTGGATGTGCAAAATGACAACATTCAAATTAATATCTGTGATGTCAATTAAAAATATCTCTTAAGAGGTTCCCTTGACAAAGCAGCTCCAAAATGCCTTGAACTCATCTCTTCCTAAATGAAGTAACATGAAAAATGAAACGGTAGTGACCATGTTAGATGCAGGAACTCAACAAGCTCTGTCTTGTGAGGGGAAAACAAAACAAGACAAAAGCAAGGGAAAACCTCCAGCCTCCACTGACATCTGATCAACAAACTGTTACTTCTTTTTAAAAGCAGAATTTAGCTGGGATATATGCACCGGCTTTGTTCAAAAAAGCTGATATAAAATAAAGCCTGAAAGTGTGTGCAGATGTATTTGTGTGTATATCCCCAAAGACTTTTCAGAAAGATGTTGTCTGATTCCATGCTTATTTAATTTTGTTTTTAACACTGTCCTCTCAAAGAGTGGTCAGGCGGGTTTTGTGCATTTCACACAGATGGTTGTTACACTTCCAGCTCCGGGGTGACCGTCAGTAGTGTGGGACAGTGCTTACCTGCTGAGCCTGGTACCTCTGCTGGGCCTGCGACAGATATTGTGCCTGGGGTGGCAGATGCTGAGGCTGTGGCTGCTGGTTGTGGCACGGCTGCTGGCCCTGCTGGCAGTAGCCACTTACACCTTGCTGGCCATACTGAGGCGGTATCTGTTGGAAGAGCCAAGCAAAGCAAAAACGTGAGTCGAGGCACAAGAGGACATGAAATCGGGCTATGTCACATCCGCATAGCAACCTGAGCAGAAGCGATATACTCAGCCATACACTTGATGCGAAAGCCTTACTCTTTTACTCAGCAGTTCATGCAAGCACTTAGATCCTCTTGCCTGAGCAGAAGGAGTAAGCCTGAGTGCTCTCTATAGTTACTCTTTTCAGGAAGAGCTTTTAAGGAAAACGTTGTGCTTCTGAACACCACGATCCCATAATGCCCAGCCTTAAAATACAGAAGCAGTTATTTTAAATGTTTGCTCTCCATAGGCACACTACTGAGGCAAATCGACAGAAGAATCATTCTGATGCACTGACCCAAAAACAGAATTGTGGAAAAAAGGCACAAAAAAAAGACTGTCTAAACCAGACATTGAAAGAGAAATGCCCTTTTTTTGAGCAATAAAGTAGTAATTTTTGTGAAATGTTTTGCCCACAACCCTCAGGTTTTAGCTTTTGTGTACACATGTGTGTTCAAGCTTTACAAAAAAAGAAAAAAGCTTGGGGTTTCGCAGGTTTGTTTTTGTTAAGTTCCATCTCCCTTGGTCTCCTCCCTCTCCCGCTAAGATAAATCTTAAAAACCAAAAAAAACCAAACCCAAAACCAAACCAAAACACCGGTGCAATGCAAAATAACCTGTTACAGGTCCTATTAACAGAGAGATCAGCACACGTATCATGATCTGAGAATGCCACACACCCCCTGAGAATTTAAGTTACAACCAAAAGCAAGTCAATTATAAAGTCAGAGGAGTTTTCTGCATCAGTTTACTCTGTAAGCCTTGTATCAATAGACACTGACATTTTCTTGAGATATTTGAAAGAGCACACTTTCAACAAGCTCCTGATACTGTGTCTGTATATTGCCCCTATTTTAGGTACCTGTGTTTTTCCCCTAAACACTGGCATTTAGTACCATTTCAGACGCATGACAGATGCAACGCAGGACTTCTCCCTTCTAGAATGGATCTCCCGTTAGTCCTGCATATCCCTGCCCTAAGCAAATGTCTGGGATACCCAAGCACATCTAAAATGCTCTGATCTCAGAAGTGTTCCCACAGAGTCTCTGATAGACCAGATAAATCTGTTTACTCAACACGTAAATACATACCTGGTTCTACCCTAAAGTTAACTTACTACATTCATTCAACGATACAGTAATATTTGCTAGGCGATAATTAATAATATAAAGTCAAATTTAAACATGTGTGTAGGTTGTTTTTACTATCACAACTTGATTTGCTCCTATTACTTCTGCCAGAAGTTGGTAGTCCTACTTCTTGCTAACTCCTAAGGTCAGCACTGTAACCCTACTTCTGCACTTCTCTTTGCTCGCGCTTCCATTTCCTTCACCATCATTTCACAGGCAGTTATATGTTTCTGTGACCAAAGTAACCCTTTTTCACAAATACCCTCCTCCCTACTGATGCATAAATGAGGCAGTTATAATGCAAACTAAAAAGGGTGTGTTGGAATATCATCAGGCAAACAGGCAGCTGGAGTCTGCGATCTGACAGAAGACCACATGGTGATTTGCCTGTCAGCTGCAAAGGTCACACAGCCTGGACTGGTTCCTAAGAAATGCTGAAGAGAAACCTATGTTGTGGTCCATCTGCGTCCCAGTAACACTAGGAAGAAACGGAAAGATATCCTGACAGCAAAATATGGGCTTCTGGAAAGAAGAAGAAAAAGAGAATTTGAATGCCTGGTTGACAGGATGGTGACAAAGCAACAGATCAGACTCATCAGGAACTTGAGTATTTCTAGAAAAAAGATATTTGTACAGGAGGTCTGGGGCTCACTTGAACATAGGAGCCAGGTTGCTGGTACCTAAGGAACAAGATAGTGAAATTTTAAACTGAAGAGAGCAGATCAGATGAACATGTGGTTCAAAAGCCTGGCATTACTACGACAAATGAAGACGTGGAGATTCTGGGTCATCAAGTGAAGACGCCAAGAAGAATCAAAGAATGAAAACAGATATACAGATGACTGCAGCGTAGAGTGGCAAAAAGAAAATCCAACAATACATTGCCTTTTACACAAAGTGCAGGAATAGAAGAAAAACTGGATCACTGGAACATCGAAGCCTCCGACAAAAGCACTGGCAGTACTCAGAAATCTGGTAGAAGGGAGACAATTAGTTGGTTGCTATTTTGCATCACCCCAGGATACAAAAAAAATAGGGAAGACAGCTGATGGCAGAGTAACATTATATGCTACATAGAGTTTAGAAACAAATTAAAACAAAACTCTACCTCACCAAGTGGCAGGGGTCTGGAGCTTGGTCAGATCAGGAAGAGTGAGTGCTGGGACCACCAGGCACAGCTGGACTACGGCAACGCTGTCAGCAGCGCACCAAGTGAGATCAGCAAAGGCACAGATCGAGATTGTACAGAAGGAGATTTCAAATCCTCCCATGTAGACGGAGCAAGCGGACTATAAAGCAGAGACCAAGGTATCTGATAACTGCCAAAGGTGGTTCCATAGAGCTGCTGGTTAGGGAGCCTGCATGAGGAGCCACTGCTTTTGGCTCAGACTTGAGAAGCAGGAATCATCTACTTCTACATCCTACAGCTGCAGAACCACTATGCATCAGTGACCATAAAACAGTTAAATTGAGCATCCCTACAGGAACAATGAAAATCAAGGAATCTACTACTGTTGTGCTTAACTTCAAAAAGTGTAACTACATGAAAAGGAGAAAGCTTGTTAAAATGAAGCTCTAACAGACAGCTACAAGAAATAAAATCTGACTGGCAGCATCAAAGCTGCTTAACAACAACCACATGGAAAGCACAGAACCCATATTCACCACCTATTAAGAAAGACTTGAGAGGAGCAAAGGGACATCAGCATGGCTCATTGCAGGTTTCTAGAAGCAAAAAGGCATCCTTCAATAAGCTGACACCAAGTCCAAATGAAGAAAACAGAAAAGACTGCAAACTCTGGCACTTCAAATGTAATAAGGCAGGCCAGAAAGAACTGGAGGAACAGCTAGTAATGAATCGTTTCTTCAAACACATCAGGAGGAAGAGGTCTGCCAGAGAGTCTTGAAGTGCCAAGTGATGATCAAGGTATAAAAGGAGATTCAGAGAAAACAGGGCCATCACAGAGAAGCTTAACAAATTTTCTGCACTAGCGTGCACTGTGGAAAAATCTTGGGAGGTTCCCATGCTGGAGTCCTCCTTTGTGAGGGATTCAATGAATGCATCTGAATATGATGGGACTATTCACGGAACAAACTGACAAATGAATGGGGAGAAATGCTCACGACCATACAGTATCATCCCAGAGGTCTAAACAAATTGAATGAAAAAGCTGAATTACTAATGATGGTATGCAACCTCTAACTTTGAGCTGCCTTGGTGGGTGAGAACTGGAGTATGGCTTAAAACAAAAAGAAACCAAAGAAAAGAACTGGAGTATGGCTTAAAACAAAAACAAAAAGAACCCAAAGAAAACAAAGAAAAAAACACAAACAAACAACCCCAGAGATTTGAGTAATTTAAGACTATAGGACTGATTACTGTTGCGGATAAATCAGTACAGCCAAGAAGAAAGATCCGAATTAGGAAACATCAACACAGCTTTTGCAAAGGAAAAATCCATCTCTACACACTTCTTGGATTTATAAGGAAGGGTCAAACACAAAGGTTCAGAGAAATGCAACAAGAATGATCAAAGGTATGGAAAAGTTTCCATACAAGAAGGCTATAACCCTCTGAGTATGGAAAAGACACCAGGAAGTAAGAATATGATAGAAAGCTACAAAACCATCTTGTCCAACACAACAATTAGGAGACATTAAATGAAGGTGGTAGAAGCAAAATTGAAAACAAGAGAGAGAGGTTCTCTCGTCACAGAGGTAGCAGATGTTTGAAACTCCTTGCCAAATGATGTTGTGAAAGCTGAAAGTTTATGTGGGCTCAAGAAAAGACTGGACAAGTTCACAGAAGATATGTTCTCTGAGGGTTACCAAATATATAGAGCCACATCTGGCTCAGGAAGTCCCTGAACTGAAAATAGCTGGAGGCTTGGAGAGTACAGGGGGAAGTATCATATGCTCGCTTTGTTCTGACTCTTCTCTAGACATCCCATTAAAGCCTCCACTGGAGGCAGGATATGGGGCTGCATGACCCCTGGATCTGACCTGATTATGCCTATGTTCTAACCACCTCTTCGCAACACACATTTGTGTCCTGTGAGAAAGCAAAGAAAATTTTGTCTGCTGGGTACTAAGTAACAGATGTAAGCAACCTGAAGAGGCAATAACACCTTGATTGCCAGAAGCTGGGAGACTGCTCCAATTTCTTTATTTTTTTCCCTAGCAATATGCTTCCAGAAACAGGCGTAAAAAAGGGTACTGGGCTTTTCTTCTGACCTTATGTATCAGTTACTTATGTTGGAATTTTCCTCTGTATTCTCACAATCCAAACTCTTTTTAAAAACAAACAAACAAAAAAAAACCCCAACACACACCCCCCAAAAAACCCAACCCAAAAAAGCAACAATAATCCCGATGCTACATGTACTTTTAGATGCTATACTCCTCAGTGCAGAGACTCATCATCACTGCCTTAACTGAACACTCCATATAATTTCAGTGGCTATTTAAATAAATAACAAAAAGCAACATGCAAATTAATCCTCCTGCTTTACTGACGGGGATCGCAAGATACCGCTTACGGACAAATGTTTATTAAACAGCATATAAAAAAGCTTAATTAAAATCTCCCCAGAACAAAACAAATCTGAAGCCAATTACTTACAATGCTTGGAGTGAATGACCCAAGCATCCTCTTTCTTCATAAGGTAAACCCTCCCTCCCTTTCTCCCTTACGCCCACATTCTTTGTGGCCACACAACACAGGAGATGAGAATTTGGGAAACTTCAGGATGCCTGTGGTAATGCACAAATTCTCGGGACAACGGTTCAAGACA